CTAATGAGTTGTATAACAACAAAAGGTTGTTTTTCATTTTTTATGGTATCAAGTTACGGGACGAACTAGTCGTGCGCCTGGCGGTTAGCAATATGTCTACCCATAACATCTGCAGCGCCACTCGGAACTTCAAATCGCAAAGGTCTGAGAATCAGCTGCGCCCATCACCCTAAGACAAAAAGTTGACAAGTCCCGTGTGTCTGTGATTTCACCAGCACCCTTCAAAAACGTAATGCTGCTCATAACATTATTGCTTGGCGTCGAAATAAGTATGGTGGCAGTACCCTGGACGAACGCTCTTTCACAAGAAACTCTACTGCTATTAAAAGTAAATTAATTAATTAAACCATAGTTTATATTAATCAAACCAGGCAATCGTGACCATGGGGCCTGTAAAGGGTTCGAAACGTTGGTTTGTTTGAAAAAACAAATATACGCGATTTCAATCTGGAAAAAATAATTTCATTTCCTAAGTCATAGTTTCCCAAAGTGGTCCCAACCCCCCCTCCCCCACCATTGGGCGCTGAAGAGTCGAAGGGGCGGTAGGGGAAGCAATTGGGCGATTTCATAAAACAAAAATTGGGGACGTTGAAGCTGTCCAAGGGGTGTTACCGCATTTGAACCAAAAACCCGAATTATCTATATATATTATATAATTCTTTTCCTTGTGATTTTTTGTGTTAAAATATAAAAACGACGCGTTTTCAATTATTTTAGTGGTAGTGGGCGTCGAATTTTTTTATCTTGCCTAAGTGGGTGTTGAGCCAAAAACTTTGGGAACCTATGAGTTAAACTTACGGATAACTCACGTATTTAAGTCGAATTTTCGCTGAACATGTTTCAAACAAGTCCGTAGTCCTTAATCATGAGATTCCGCGGCTTTGAGTCGACGGAAACTGCACGCCAAAGCTCTGCAGCCCGGTCACTCAGTACGGCTGCGGGCGCAGGGGACGGCAGCGAACAATTACAATTACCGTCGTTTGTTTCATTCTTATTAAAGTCATCGTAGGATTGTACACTACACTATTATTACCCGGCTTGAAAACAGTGTTCGGTACTGTGTCAGTGGTCTGTGTGGATGAGACTTTAGGAAGTGACGTTGTTAGTGTAGTGTGCAATCCTGCGTATGACTTTAATACGAATGAAGCAAACGTAGTTGCTTGCCGCCGCCCCGCCTTCGCCCGCAGCCGTACTGACAGGGCTTTATCGTGCAGTTTGCGTCGAGTCACCGCCGCGGAATCTCATGATTAAGGACCACAGATTGGTTCGAAACATGCATCGAGTATATCACGAGAGATAGAGACGAAATAAGGGCCATCTATCCCTTACAACTCTTCAGGCAAATGGGCCTTATATCACTTTTAAATATCAACTCTCGATTGCACTGATATAATAAATTAGAAAGCTGAAATAGTACAGCGCCAACAACTGACCTGTGTGCACGTCTCCGTTTATTCCGAAAATATTCTGTATTTATTGTAATAAAGCTAATATCTCTCACTATAGCGGGGTGTTCCATTTGGTGCTGTGGGAAAAACAGCAAAACATCCAATTGCAAATCAAACGGAATCACATTTCATCGGTAATTAAATATTAAATATGTAATTTTTCAATTGTCGTCCATTATAGCAAAGCTCAAATTGAACTGGTCTATTTGAAGTTAAATAAAGACACCCGTCAATTCTTTCATATTCGGGCTGGCCAATCGGAGCGCGGTTGTCACCGTAATGATATGGCAGAATACTTTTAAAAAAAATTAAATGTCATTTCGTCTCTATTTCAATTATGTCAAGCAAAAATTCGACTTAAGTGCGTGAGTTATCGGTTAGTTTAGTAATATGTCTGAATGTCACGGTAGATTTCTATTTAAAAAAGTATAAAAAGTCAAAATTAAATTAACTTTTTTACGACTATTAGATACGCTATTCATATCATGCGAAATGCATAATATTTTAGCTAAACAACTCAAGATTTCTCCTTTGGGATAAAGTCTACTCGACCCGAGTTGTCCCTCGAGACGACGTGTACTCAGATAGAGCATCAAATCCACACTGTACATAATCCTACTTTCCTTAGGTCGTTCGTATGCAAACTCTTGCTGCCACGCTACACCCCATTAACTTAATGAACTTCAAATTTATGTTTTAACCATTTTGATAACATTGTCAGCAGCTACTAAAAAGCGTTTACTGCTGAACGTGGTCCTGGACACCTTGCGATGGCTTTCTCCAACTTCCACCACTATTGTGACAAACCAAAACACTGCAAGGCTCAATAAAGTGTTTTGTAATTGCATAACAACAAGAATCTTTCAGCGTTTATTAGTGAAAAATAAATTTATTCGTTTTTCAGTAGAAATACCTTATTTTCCATAGTAAAATTGTAATGATTGGATAGATTTATTCAATGTAAGTTAAATACAAAACTGCCTCCGTGCTCGAATGGTTACCATCCTGTTTTGTCACGTAGAGGTTCCGGGTTCGATTCCCGGGCCGGGAGAAATATTTGCATGGCTCACATTTATTTAGCTTGTGAGTTTGAACGTAATTTGTGATTGTCTATGTGTGTCCGTGGCACCCGCGATACCGGGTTTCACTAGTGCGGGGCTAAAAGAAACATAAAAAATATTTCTTTTAATGTTTATTTTTATGTTATAAACCACAAAACACCCGAAAAGTCAGTTACACATTACAGTGTTTTGGTTTGATACGGCAGACCAGGTCTTCGGTCTGTCTAGTACGAGGCCGTCCAAAATCTAGTCTTGGATTTTTCTGCAGACTTGATTTTACTAATTGCACCACAGAGACCGGTGTAATGTGGAGATTATATTATTGTATTTACGTAATACAGTCATTTACATGAGATACCTGACCCCCTCACATGCCCAAACTGACCTTTTTGTTCTGAGAGTCATCTTATGTATTGAATAAACAAAAAAATAAAGCGATTTCAACTTTATCGGATAAGCAATACAATGGAGTGCTGCTTTAAAATGATCAACATATTTTTAAAACCAGTCCAAAATTTAGTCATTTAACATCCAAGTAAATTGGTCAAGCGGCTTGTTGTTTCGACTGCCAGTTATGATATCCGTGGTTCGATTCTACCAGCACTATTTTGTTATGTGTTTAACAGCATTGTTTCACTTTTTAATGTTGACAAATCACAATATTTGCTCACTAGAAATTACCTAAGGTGGGTGGGTAGATATTATTAATAAAGCGTAGGGTGGGTATGGATAGATATATAATAAATCCCGTAATCGCTATGCAGTTTGCATACGATCGAGTCTTCTATGATTAAGCATTGTTCCACGTTTCGTTCCCATTTATCTATTCAGTTATAATTACTTTCAAAGTTTTCTTTTTGTTTTGATATGCCGCACTTAACGAAATTATTAAAATTAGAAATTATTGTTCTGTATGAACAAGACTTAGACATTCCTTACACCTATCTAGAGGTTAAAAACAAAAAGTACGATATTGCGAAGTCATAGCTAAACAATATTTTATTTTTAATGTGACTCGAACCATGCTTGCCTTAACTTGCAAAGCAATCCTTATACCGCTAGGCCACGATGGCCTTACTAAAGCTGGTTGAAATTTGTATTCTGTATTTAAGTAAGAACCATACGTTAAAGATCAAATTGGCTTAAAACTTTCTTACAATGTCATTCACTAATGAGACGACCAGGGAGTCATACCAAATTAAATTTTACAGCTCACAGGTTAAAGATTAAGTTTGTTTAACAATTTTCTTCACATTTTTGTGGTCAGAAACATAAGCTCGACAAAGTCGGCTTGGGGGGTCAGGTATCTTGTGTATATGACTCACATACATGGTAGTAGGTAGTCATTATTACGATTATATAAGGTACATTTATGCCGTTTGTCATATTTGGCTTATGTCGGAGTCTTCGCATTTTCTCTTAGTGTAAAATGTTCTATAATAAGGGAGAAGGAGACTTTTATCTCACAATAAAGAAAAGGAAAATAATATTTTTTTCTCTCAATGAGGCTTGTCTTGAAATCCTTGATATTGTTTTGATGAATGAGATATTTAATGAAAGTAAATGTCTGCAAAATTTGTTTATATGAAATTAAAAATTAACGCTTTTGGCGGTTTCTTTGTGTTACTTTGATGGGTGCTCTCGGTTATTGAACTAAAGTCTGCGTTATTCTTTTCTTTCTACTTTTGGTTCTGCAGCATTTAACCACTACCTTGATCTTGTATTTATTTTTTTCTACCAAATGACGGGACGAACAAGACGTGCGCCTGATGCTAAGTGACACGACTATCCATAACACTTGCAGTGCTACTCAGAGCTTTAAATCACAAAGATCTGAGGGGCACTGCCACTGCGCTTGTCATTCCAAGACATGAGTTGATAAGTCTCATGTGCCTGTAATTTCACCAAATGTCAATTTCGATTGTTTTATACGAATTTAGAAAACATTATTTTAACAGGTTCAGACCGGCGTGAACCACCGGTGGAGCACGGACAGCTGGTCCATCAGGCGTAGTGTAGGTACTACCGGACAGGACTTGACTTTTGATAAACTAAGAAATTCACGCCGCCTTGAGAGAAAGTACTAAATTTAACGTTCCCTCCCTATGCAACAGTCAAATTTTCATAGTGTAGCTCTAGAATTTGATATTTTGTTTAATTATATATATTAAAACAGTCAGATTTGGGAAAAATAATAGTTTACTTAAGGTAATAAGTTTTTAAGAAGAGAAAGCATAAACGAAACGTCGGTTTGTTTGAAAAAACAAATATACGCGATTCAAATCCGGAACAATAGTTTAATTTCCTAGGGAAAGCATAATTTCGCCGTGTCCACTGGCGGCGCACCCCGCCCCGACACATTTTTTAGTTGATGGGGTGATGATGTACCATCGGTGGCCATGTGAGAATCTTTCCCGCTGGACAGCAAATAATGATAATTTTGTTCCCGGTCTGAACGTGTTAAGAAACAACACAGAATACAAATACTCACCCTTCGCCGAACTCACTGCGACATTGCTCGTCTACGGTGAACGTGTAGCTGGGTAAATGTTTTGTACCATCCAGCACCTCACCTTTATCCGCACTCCGCTCGTGGAGACACCACCATTTCCTGTAAAATTCTTGCCATTATAACGTTGTTTGCATTTTATATCCATACTTTTTTACTATCAAAAAATTACAATAATTTACCGATAGTACTGGTGTGACAAAAAACCTTATACTATTAAAAAAATCAACTTATTGAATAATACAATTTACTTTATATGGTGTTCTCATATTTAAATGACAACTTCATTGTTTAATTTGTGACACTTGTGTATTTATTTTGACGTTATTAGTTTTATTATTTTGAAGTTAAGTTATTTTTCCAATTATTATCATTAAAATTGACCTATTTAAGTATCATCGCGTTTAGCAACAAATACAGGCTCATGTGATACTGTGGTACTTTAAACAAAAATTGTTACATTTGGTTTAGCCTGAGAACTATATGTGAGTAAATATAAATACGTCTTCAGTTGTATGCCTAATATTTGGTCAGATATAGTGAAACCATACTTATTTTGTATATGTCAATTTGCATACCAGCTATGTCCATACAAACAAATAAAAGAAATACGATTATGTTTCACTTCATTCCACCATTCTATGATATAGAATGGCTTTAAATTATTTTTTTCTCAAATATGTTCGGAAATGTTTGCATTACTTTCAAAAAACGAACACGGGAAGTTTCTGCGTATGCGTAATGAAAATCAACTACTGTCCGCTGCTCTAAACTTTTAAATCTACCTCCTAATAATGAACTATGTAAACAGGTAAAAGAAAAACGCATACAGCCAACTTCCAAGTGTTCGTAATTGCGAGAAAAAAAAAACTCAGCTATACCGATTACTTTTTTTTTTAATTAAATAAATTGCTTTATCGCCTTTTTTGTATTTTCGTCGCCAAAATGAGTTCTAGTGATGTGAACTCTCGAGAATGTATGTAAATAAAAATAACAATCATTTATTTCATTTATCCATATTTTTAAATTATAAAATTAGTTAATCACTGTAGAAAATTCAAAATAAAATGAACATAAAAAAAATTGAAAGTTAAAATCTAAATCAAAATTAAATATTAAAATCTAAATCTCATAATAAAAACCATAGAATTAAAATCGAATCAAATATTACTAAAATAAAATAAAAATAAGTAAAATAAGTTATAAAATTCTTATATTTCCTATATGCAGTCGAATCAAATGCCACATTATGGGACAGTCAAAACGGTCGGCTATAACACGTAGGATGGTGTTGGTGATTTAAACAGCATTTATGTACAACGTTAACGTTTGCTCTAGAATTCCAATAAATAAAAATCACGCTACCCCAGAGTTAATGTTCTATACGTAATATTGAGATATTTATGGCTTGCTGCACTGTAGAATCGTGTTTTATTTTCACTTGAGATACTTATCTCGCCGAAAGGTTCGTGTAAGTTTTAGTCCATGAACGGATATCCGCTGGAAACTGTGGTAAAATAAAAAGTTGTTAGTTCCGTCTAATTTCCGCGCGAAGCTTTAAAAAGGGCGGAGATCAAAGAAACTCGTCCGACGAAAACGTCAAGTAGAAATTTGGAGTTCCAAAAGTAACACTTTGTGATACTGTAGTGGATTTAGTACGACTACATTGTTTACTTAAGCTTTTACATTCGTTTCGAGTTGTTTTTCTCGATGTAAATGAAACTATATTAACCGATTTCAAAAAAAGGAGAAGGTTATCAATTCGACTGTATTTTTTTGCATGTATGTTACGCGATTAGTGAGCGACATTTATGAATCGATTTCGATGTTTCTTTTTCTTGTAAAGGGGATAGTGGTTCCATTTAAATTTAATGAAAATATTATTCAACCTCAAAGGGTGGTAAATCAGAGAATGAATTCGGTTTATTGAATTTCGTCCACTTCCCATTAACCGAATTCAATGAAACTTGACAATTAGATGTAATTCAACAAACTTTTGAGGACGGTATTTTTTTATTATTTGATTAATTTTTGCATCTATATCATGTATATTTGTCTATTCCAAACACTAAAGCTCTGAGTGGCACAGCTACTGTTATGGATCGGCGTGTAGCTTACCACCAGCCACACGACTTGTTCATCCGCTCACTTGATAACATAAAAAAAAGATAGTTTTCCTCATCTTTAGGTATGACTGTAATTGTAACTAGTCCGTGAATTTTCCGTGGATTTTGTTATGTCAACTGTTGGAGTCGTTACATGCTGAGAATAAATATCTTACTATAGCCTTACTACAACAGGTAGCAGCCTAATGGTTTGACCCACCGGCCCTCGAGCAGAGAGTCCTAGGTTCAAATTCGGGTTTGCATCTCAAAGATTTTCGAAATTTGCAAAATATAATTTAAAATTTAGCTTGAGCTTTTCAGTGAAGGAAAATGTCGTGAAGTAAACAGCACACATTTACAAAGCAATTTAATGATGTGTGTGAAGTTCCAAATTCGCATTGGGTGGATTGACCCGTGTAGGAATTACACTTCAAGACTTCTCATAGGCTAACTACTATTATTAAATATTTTACTTATACATTGGTGTCGACGCTAGACGGAAAAATTTATGGGACGAGACTCGTGTACAAATTTCGGCTTTTTTCTTAAAATCGCTGTCACTCTGAAGTAGCTGTCACTTCGGAAACTAGAGTTATTCATCAGTGTCAGACAATTTGTGTATTTTCTATATAAGCATTACTTACTGGGATTTGGCGTGAAATTGTTCCTTGGAGCACTTGGACCAGGCGAAATTGTAGAGCGTGGCCATCACGGTACGCGCCATTACCGAGCCGCGTTGGGCCTCAGAAGAGCATTGGTTTTCGCCGTCGTGCATGAGACCCATACTGAAATAAGATCAAGATGTTATGAAAATACTAAAAATTTGATCAGAAATATTTTTGGCACTTAGAGGAAACAAAGGGAATATAAAACATTCGAACTTCTGCATACAGGATTATTAGTAAAACAACAACGAAAAAAGATTAGATTATTGTCATAATAAACAACAACCTTGTTCCATAAACCACGAGAGTTTACATTTGTACAAAAATATAATATAATAACTGCCTCGGTGGCCAAACGGTTACCATGCCGGACTGCCACGCAGAGGTCCCAGGTTCGATTCCCGGGCCGGGCGAAATATTTGTATGACCTACATTTATTTCTCTCGTGAGTTTGGATGTAATTTGTGGTTGTCTATGTGTGTGTCCATGGCACCCGCGACACAGGGTTTCCCTAGTGCGGAGCTATGTTGAGTGTGTGATCTATTTATATTATAATATATTATAATATATTATAATATAATATAAATAGATATATTATAATATAAATAGATCACTTTAAACAGTGATAACTCTGTGCAATAGCAGAAGAAGTACGCGGGTGGCATTGCTAAATAAGGAACTACCTGTTCAAACAACCTTTGAACATTCAAATCAGCAGTTGAACGACCCAAAAATAAACTGCAAGAAAGTGCTTCAGCGGCACTCTGCATGACGAACGACCGAAGACCAGGGTGTAAGATAATGCTTCAACGGCACTTTATACCGCCGAGACACTTAGATTTTAGAGACCTTTTTTGTTATAGTGTGTGTTAATGTAAGTTTGTATATATGGCAATTAATTTATTATTAAAATTACTCTTTCAACAGCAGTCGAGTTTAGTTTATCTCCTGCTAGGATCCTCTCACTGTGGCCAAGGCACCTTTAGCCATAAGTATTTATTTATTTATTTATTTATAAAGGTACACCAACAGTATAAATATGGTTTACTTCAAAAAGGTTTATGGTAAGAGGAATTGTTCTTATATATATGCCTATTACTGGTATACACAACTTTGTAGAAATTAATTAGTACACAACTGTATAACTATATACATGTTAATTGAAGAAGGAAAAATATTATTATAAAATATACAATTACAAACAAAACATGAGATCGTTTCTTTTTTTAAACAGAACAAAAATAAATATTAAAAACTTAAAACACAGATTTAACGAATATAGAATTACAAGTTATGGTGTGGCTTCAAAGTATTGTCAGCAATTTTGTTTTAAACATTTTTAGGGTATCGTTGAAGATATCCAGCTCTGGTTGTTTTACAGATAAACGGTTGATGGAAACCTAAATTAGTTCGGCATGGGGGAATATTAAAAAGTTTTGTTAAGCGAGATCTGGGATATTTGTATGGTACTGAGAGCTTCACGTTTTCGAGTATTGCAGAACTTGATATCTCACCATTAACTAATTTATGTAAAAAAGACAAATCAGCTAATTCGTCGATTTCATGATGTGGATATTTAACAAAATTTCATTCTTTGGTCATAAGGACGTCTATGTGATATGTTGGGGTGAAATAAAAGCTATATGCTTTGTAAAGGCACGCTGGATGTTTTCTATACGCGTACATTGGATTCCACGCTGTGGACGCAAATTCAAGGTGAGAGCGAATTAGACTATTGTAAAGTACGGTTTTCGTATTGAGTTGATTAAAATTACGCGTGTTTCGTCTAAAATAAAACCCAACATTCGCGCTGCCTTATGAATAATTTTATCAATGTGTGGACTAAATTTTAGTTTGTTGTCTATAATGACTCCTAAGTCACGGACTTCATTGACTTTTGCTAATAGTAGATAGGTCTTGTGAGTCTGTGAGACCGGCAGTGAGAATATCCATCCCAGTACACACTTTTTTCTTTCCCTCCGTCCGTCTGTTGCCTTAGGTCTCATCGCGCAGATATCTTGTAATTGTCTATATATTTATTTAGCACACTTATATAATTAGGGCTAGGGCCAGTTAGGGTACTTAGGGTGATAGCCACACACACAGGTTCTTCTTGCCATACCTTATTACGTTTATTCCTTTACATTAGTCGACAGACTGTACATCCAAAAACTTTCGGATGGTACAATAAAAATGAAATAGTTCATTTTTGGAAAAGTTACTAAAGTTATTCTTCGGTATTCTGCCTGTGCTATTCAATCTATAACGATATCGAATGCCCCGCGTACTGATTCTAACGAAACTGGCTGTGTTTCGTTGTCGGTGTTGACGTTAGCAGTCAGTGTCGCTGAAAAAATCCAACTTGTACTTGAAATCCTCTGTATGATATCCTCCCTCCTAAAATCCCCCGTCCTGTTAATATCAACTTCCTCCTAACGTTAGTCCATTCTCCCTTTGTGCATGTGCCGTGTAAATTTATTAAAAAAAAATTGTTTCTGTAATAGTCTATGTAGGTTCTCTGTCGTTGTAGTCACAATTAGAAATATGTTTTAGATTCGTAGATCTCAGTGAACTCGGTCAAAATTCACCGGTCAATTTTTAAGTTAAAACGCGTGCGTATAATTATTCCTTTTCGTTTTATCTCTTCTAGTTTTGATCATTATAATTCAACAAACGAATTAAAAAACGAACAAGACTGTGCCATCTTCCTGTCCAGTTGAAGACTCACACCCGCACCGCTGCCGTCGTAGTAAAGGGATGAACGCATGAGTAGTTCAATAAAAATTTAGCCAGGATAGCACAGGCAAAGGATTACTAGCGCCCTAAATACAGTCCATCGTGACCCGGCTCGTGGTACACCACAGTCATGGAACAAACGTTGTTTTTTCTGATATTAGTAACATAGACCTATGAGGTTATTAGTATTTTAAAAATTACCCTGTATCACCTCTGTATACATATAATTCACTGTTGTAATTTAGAAGTATAAATAATAAATCACATTCTGTCTGGGTCGCTCAGACACGCTAAGTCTGTTGAGTCTTTCAAAATTTTACTCAAACCTAATATTCTAATTAGTCTTTTCTCCTATTGTTAATTTGTTTTTAATATTATGCGCTGTTATTATTATTTTTTTAGTAGCAGTAGAGCTCCTTGATAAAGAGTTTGTCCAGTGAAGTACTGCCACTTACCTATTTCTGCCGCCAATCAGTAATGTTAGCATTACTGTGTTCCGGTTGGTTAAGTTGTTTGGTAAGGGTGCTGGTGAAATTACAGGCAGATGGGACTTGTCCAACTTGTGTCCCAGGGTGACGGGCGCAGTGGCAGTGCCCCTCAGATCTTTGCGGTTTAAAGCTCTGAGTGGCACTGTAACAATTATGAACAGGAGTGTAGCTTACTATCAAGCGCACGACTCGTTCGTCCCGTCACTTGATATGAAGTAAAAAAAAAATATTTCTCCTATTCTTACTTTCCCACTATGGCTATTATTTATGCAAGTATATGTATTTCTTTACTTATTTGTATTTTTAAATTATTTATGTTTTTTTATTTGTGTAAGTGCGTTGCAGTTTGTGTGTGAATTAGTATTTAAGGAGCATTGGACTCGGTGAGCGAAGAGCAAAGAGACTTATTAACAACAATTCTCATGTGGAGTCGAAGCTACAAAATCTCGACCATCGCAGAAAAGTAGACTACCGATCGGTTTTCTATCGGATACATTTCGGGGAGCGTGCGCAGGAAATTTTCAATTTGGTTCCACCCGTGCCATTCCTCCTTCGGTCGGCTAGAAGGTCCTTATGTCGTTGATATACCACGCATTAGCACTAAGCGCTTTGCTTCGTCCTTTCTGATGCGTAAGGCAAAAGAATGGAATATTTTACATCTGTGTTTCCCGAAAAGTACAATTTGTGGCTATTCAAGGTTAGGGTGAATAGGCATTTTTAGGCAAACACGTACCATCGTTTCTCTCAGTCAGATCGTCCCTTAACAATAGGTGACATTGTGGCCAAACGTGTGTCTATTATTTATAAAAAAATTGTTGCGACTTTAATTAATAATTATTATCCATAAGTTTATCCTGTAATCCGCCGTTAAAGACCATGTCTTTTGTTTTGTTTTTAATGTATTTATTGTGTGCAATAAAGAATATACATGTGCCTTGTATCAGGAGAACAGGTTGACCTGACATGTGACCTGATGTTGCTACTCTAACATAAGTTGCATATTAATTTCAATATATTTTGATGCGAGCAGGATTTCATATCGACGATTGACGTAATCACATCATTACGAAGTGTGATAATACTCCATAGGATTAATTTCTATATAATATTCCATTCAATACCCAATTAAAAGTAAAAAAAAAATAACTATCATTTTCAAAAAGATTTTGTTTCTGTAACATACACTGCAAGAAAGTCTTATCGTCGCAAAACTCTGTCCAAGTTACGATTGTCAGAAGAAAAATGAGGGTCTTTCGTCATATTAAAGTATGAAAGAAACGTGACACTTGTGAAATAGGACCCTTGGACATAGTAGAAAGGGTACAGTAGTTGAACAGATATAATAATTACCAACAAGTTTGACGAACTTTCGCGCACATACGCTTACTTCTCACTGGGTGAAAAAGTACTTAGTTACCATCGTATGAAACGAGGGAGGTGCACGAAAGAAGCCTCCGCACAGCATACCATTCCTGTACGTCAGACGCACCGTGGGCAAGTAATCCTTTACGCCGATTAGCATACCCTTACACCACCACGAGTATTATAGTATATGTCATCGGTATGACAAGAAGACTGGTGTATGTACATACTAAACTCAATTTAAAAAGGTTTTGAAAAAAATTAAAAAGATAGAATTTTTTTATAATACCAAGTGACGGGACGAACGTGTCGGGCACCTTTTGATAAGCGACACGCCTATTCATAACAGTTCAGTGCCACTCAGAGCTTTAAATCGCAAAGACCACAGGGGCACTGCCATTGCGCCCGTCACCCTGAGACATGAGATGACAAGTCATGGGACTGTGCATGTAATTTCACTAGCAACTCTTACCCTTCCAAACCGGAACGCAGTAATGTTTAATAATAATAATATATAGGAAATGAAACTATTTT